CCATGTGGTTGCTGGGAATTGAACTCAGGACCTCTGGAAGAACAGTCAGTGCTCTTAACCTCTGAGCCATCTCTCCAGCCCCCAATGCCCATTTTAAAGATAGGAAAAACTGAAACTCAGACCTAGATCTTGTCACTAGATGTGTTACGTAGAAATGGAGTCTAAATTCTGATTCTAAATGGTCCCTTTCTCTTTTTTCCTCTTCTGGAGATATAAAGGCAGACAACAAAAGAGTTTCCTGTGTACGTCATGTCTCCTAACACCTGTCCGCAGGCCTTGTACCACACATTTCTTTAACATCTCAGACCGCTCTCAGTCACCTAGCACAGACTTGGGAAATGACTGCAGTCCAGAGTGACACTGAGGGACAGCCCAAATCAGTGCTCTAGGTTTCTGTTTCTTGCTTGGGGTTTGGAGACCGGCACGCTCCCCCGTGGCTTCACTGTAGACAATCCCTGACTATGGTCACCATGACAGCCGTTGCCCAAGCTGTTTTTCAGGAACTGGAGGCAGCAGAAACTAGTTGAAACTACTGCCTCAGGCAAGTGTCCAGTGGGTGACCTTTCAACATCAGCTGGCTAAAGCTCCACCCTTAGGGCCTGCGAATGCCACTAGTTTCTGAACCCAGCCCAGGCAAAGCTTTGATGGCCCACTTGCCGCCTCCGTTAGCTTTCTCCATGCCTTTGACCCTGCATATCTCATCGCTGCCCCTTACCTTTTTGAGACCTAGGGCTCCTGCCTCTTCATGTCTGGCTGCCTCGTCAATACTCTTTTTTTGGGGTGTGTGTGTGTGTGTGTGGAATATTTGCAATCATTTCAGCAGCTAGCAGATTGGCATGCCAAACAGTGAGCAAAACAAGCTTCACTTGGTAACCAGAGGAGCTGAATGATTGACATGGTTGCCCAGCAAGTTTATAAAAAAAAAAAAAAAAAAAGCATGAAGCCTGGCATTGCTGCCAGCCGTGTACTGAGGCAGGAGGATTGCCAGGGCTACACAGCAAGAGCCTATCTCAAAAACAAACAGAAAGGCAACTTGCACAGGACCGTGAGGTTGGAGGGAGTTTTAACTGGACATGTCTGACGACTGGATTAATAAAGGAGCGAGAGAGAACAGCACAGGTTTCCGCAGTGGGCTGACCATCCGGCCACAAGATGGGAACTTCTAAATGGCTTGATTTAGCGGGCTCTTTTCCCTGTGCCGAATCAGTCACCTGGAGGACCCTACTCACCTTTTGCCCTTAGCCACTTGCGTCCCCCCTCTGGTCCTAGTCTCTTGCTGAGGAAACCTAGGTAGTGGTTTCTACCTCTTCAAAGAGGCCAAAGGAAAACAAACCTCGTCTATAATCTCCAAAGGGCAAAGTTTTTTCTTAATTCCTCCCTGCCTGTCTCCACACCCCAGGCAGTGCTTGGAACCAGACTTTCTATAACCCAGAGCGCTTTTTTCCCAGGGCTTCCCAGGGGTGAGGAAGAGGAGTGTGAATAAACAAGTGGTAGGGAGATAAAGCCTGAGATAGGTGAGAATTTTCCTCCATAGTCATGTGAATGAATTGCCCTCTTGGGAACTCTGGGGAGGCAAGATTCCGGTCTGTGCTGGGGGAGGGAAGCCCAAAGCCCAAGTCCAAGATGCCTCTCCCACCCCCCCTCCCCCGCCCCCTCCACCCATAAACACACAAGCTACTCACATCTGCCTCATTCCAGAGTCCTGGGATGCAGAAGGACTCCAGCAGGTCACTACCACACAGCAGCAAGATCCGCAGCTCTGGGGAGGGAGAACGGAGTTTGCAAAGGGCATCGGAGCAGGTCTGGGAGACGGCGCTCAGCTTTCTTCCCTCGCGAGCACAGGAGTCTGCACGGTTGGAACTGGGTGGTCCAGATCTCCCTGACGACCCCACACCGAGGTGTCTGGAGTTCAACCCTCACCCCCCCCAACCCCCTCCCCCCACTCCAGTGGGATTTCCACATGCAGTGCATGGAGGGTGGCCAACTGTCCTGCCTACCCAAGACACAGACACAGCCTTTGAGGGCCAAAGCATTGGCTGGGCTTTCTAACCGAGAGAGCCAGCGACATACTTTGCTTAAGGGCTTAGAGAGTCTCTCTCTGTTTCTCTCTCTCTGTTTCTCTCTCTGTTTCTCTCTGTTTCTCTCTCTCTCTCTCTGTCTCTCTCTCTCTCTCTCTCTCTCTCTCTCTCTCTCTCTCTCTCTCTCTCTCTCTCTCTCTCTCTCTCTATCTCTCTCTTTCTCTCTCTCTCTCTCTCTCCCAGACCCTGTAGCCCAGGCTGGCCTCAAACTTGCTATATAGCTGAGATTTGAACTCTGGAACCTCCTGTCTCAGCCTCCCTAGTGCTGGATGATAACAGGCACTTCTCTCCATTTGGAGTGTCCCGTGACAAGTGCCAACAGAGTCGGGATGGGGTGGCGGGAGGTCACTGCCTGCCAGTGGAGTGTCTGAGTTGATCCCCTGTGCCCTCTCTTTGTGGCCGGCCATAGCCCTCGGCAAAGGGCTTGAGAAGCAAGGCCAGAACCACGCCCCCCGCCCCCCTTTGCCCATGGAGCTTCCTGCCCGTCAGCTCCTTTTCTTCCCTCGTTAAGCCTAATTTGAATTATCCCAGTGAGGCCCATTGTCATTTGACACTCCCGGCAGACGGTTGCTTATTACAGAAGAGAGATGGGGAAAGAATCGGGATTCTCGACATTCCACAGAGTGGCCTGCCGCGGGGCTGCGAGTGCAGATCTCAGGCTGCCCAGGTTTCGGCTTTACCAGGTGTGTCTGAGACCACAAGCCCACGTGTGCTGAGCTGACCGCCACACCTCCAGACACAACCCCTACCGCCGAGGCCCCTGATGCTGAGAGCCCAGAGTTGTTTTGCCTGACTTTACACCCCGGGACTTTCAGATGTTGAGCTTGTCCCTGCTCCCCAGAGTCTCCTGATGGGAATGAGGCAGGCGGCTAAAGCAGCCAACATCTCATTGTCCAGATGTCTGGAGAGTGTCTGCACTGGACCAGGGTCTGCACAGCCCACCCCCTTTGGGGGAGCCTGATGAAGGTTGAGAGCTTATATTGCTCAGTGATCTCTTCAGGTACAGAACCTTGATTTGTCTTTATGTTCCCAGGGCCTGGCAGTGACTGGCACACAGTGGGTACTGAGACCTGGTGAGTAGTTAAGCCAGCAGATGAGGTAGTTACAGAGCCCCACAGGCTGCCTTGGGAGAGCCCTTGGACAGTTTAGGGGCATTTTTACAATGTCTGGTTTTCACGCCCGGGGAGCAGAGAAGTACGTCATTGGTATCTGGTAGATGGGATGTTAAGCGAGCATCCCACAGTGCACAGGGCATCCCCACAACATAGAATTATCTGCCCCTAAATACTGGCGGCACCAAGGCTGAAAACCCCGAACTGGGTTTCCCATTCTCATGCTAGGACTCGCTTCTCTTGCCCAGACTTTTAGAATGAGCCAAAGCACAGAAAGGTAGAGTGAGACCTCTGACTCCCCCCTGCTCCCCAGAATCAGAGCAGATGTGTCATTTGTGACGGACAGGTGACCCAGACAGAGTCTGTGGTCCCACATGCAGCCACTGGAGGGCAGCAGTCATTTCCATATCTCCAGCCCTTGAACTGGGGTAGCCCCAGGGGAAGCAATCAGCTGTTGGAAACAGAAGGATGGATCACGGATGCCACAGGAGAAGGTGGCTTTTTCCTATGATGTGTGCAAGGGGGTTTCGTTAAGGGAGCCTTGTGCGCACCCGGACCTCACAGAACGTAAGGGTCAGGATGCAGGCTAGTTCCTTTGCCCTCCGCTGGGCTTTGCCTCCCTCCCTGGTCATCTTGACCCAGGGCCAGCAGCCAGAATCAGTCCTCTCCCTCTACACTCCCTGCTGAAGAATGCCAGCTATGTGTAGCCCAGTGGCCCACCCCAGTTCCCACGGTACACGGAAGCAGCCGCCACCTGTACCATCGCAAACCCGGAGTCTGTCTGTCAGCAGGGGCCGCGCGGCTCTGCTTTTCAGAAGCCAAGAATTCTTCGTTCCCTGGCCCATCATCCTTTTCAGACACTAGGGATCCTTTTCCCTTCTAGAGAGCAAAAAGGGTCAGAGGTGGCTAGGCAGATTTAAGAGCCAGAGGGGATGTCCCCCGGTAGGGCAGCATAGCCTAACATAAGCCCTGGGTGCTGGGTAGGCAAACAAGTTCACAGAAGTCCAATAGAAAGTCTGTTGGATTACAAAACCTGCCGTGTTTGTGGGGAGCATCCAGAAAGTCAGGTGTCCACTTTCCTGCAGACTTCAGAGCACACAAGCTAATGTATAAAGGACATTAAAGTCTAGAAAGGTAACTAGAAAGTAAAGCACTTGAATGCTCCACCGCTGCTTCGCTGCTTCGATTTAATGCAGTTTGTTTAACTGCATGCGACTAGTATTTCATCTTTACTAATGGCTTTGCTTAGTAACTAGCTGTCAAAATTTTGCAAATGGTTCTAGCAAAGTGATATGAATAAACTCAGGCACGACTATGTCTCGGACCAGAGATGTACCTCGAAACGTTACCACAAATGTGGACATTAAGGTGCCGAGACATGTCATCATTTCCATGCCATTCTGTGGTGATATTTTATTTGTGCAACCCAGTAAAGTTTATCTGAGGATCAGAGGAAACAGCCAGCCACTATATTAAACATAGAGGTCAGGCAACGGTAGCACACACCTTTAATCCTAGCATTCAGGAGGCAGGAATCTGTCTGGATCTCTGTGAGTTCAAGGCCACATTGGGAACAGAGCCAGGCGTAGTGGTACACGCCTTAAACTCCAACACTAGTTAACCGTAAAGGTTTGGAGGCCTGTACAGACAGACAGAAAATAACAGAACTGGGCAGGAAGAGGAAGTGATGTAGCTGGACAGAGAGAGCAAATGAGATAGCAGAACAGAAAGGCATACAGGCATGGGTTTACAGGAAGTAGCTCTCTTTTTGGAAGCTGAGATGTCGGTGAGGTGAAGTTGGCTTATGGCTTTTCCTATTCCTCTGATCTCTCAGGTTTTCACCCCAATACCTGGCTCCGTGTTTTTCATTAAAAAAAAAACTGTTTAGCATTCGACTACACCACTCAGAACCACAGCAGAAGCCCAGACCCCGAGTGTACACTCGGAGGAGCATCAGGAAGCCAGCTAACGGATCTTTGCAGCTAGAAATTAAGTCCATGTGGGTTGGAGGCCAAGTTGCCTCTCCTTCTAGAAGTCTGCTGACTCTCCTCAGCACCCGTACCAGCTCCATTCCGGCCTACCTCTGCCATGCTTTTCCAGCTGCAGGCATTTGGGGTCCCCCCGTCCCCCGCCGCCGCTGTCGGCCATCTTTCACTCTGAACCCTTGGAAAGGCTTCAGTTTGCTGATTTGCTTCAGTTATTTACACAGCTGTCAGCTCCTTCCCATCAGGCAGCTGTTTGTAACCAGCTTCTGCCTACCCTGGGTTGAGCCCAGGGTCTCGAACAGACAGAGGGATGGATACCTTAGCTCCAGCCAACCCTTGCCTCCTTCTCGACTTTAAAGCCCTGGAGATGGAACACTGCCCTGTTTGTGTGCAGTATGGACGGGGGAAAACAATGGTCTCTCTCATTAGCACTGACGCTCAACTTTCGTTCTTTTCTGTGAGGGAGGGGAAGCTGTGGAGGGGAGACTGGTAGTCCATCCACTCCTGCCGGGGAAAGCGGGTCCTTAGGAGATGTCAGATGGGTTCTAAGCAAGATCATCTACAGAAGGAACACTGAGACAGTGGACCCTGCTGCAAACACCCTCCAGAGGTGTCAGGCCTCCGCCCTCCCCGACATCCCGCTTCCAAGTGATCGGAGGCAAGAGGCTCCAAATGCCCCCACTTTCACGGTTCAACTCACCAATCTCTTCATACCGCATCACTGTGCCCAGGTTGGCATTCTCATCTGGGGAGAGAGAGGGGGGACCATTAGGGAGCTTCGAGCCTCAGTGGGAGTGGCTGGGGCGGGATGGAGAAAGATGTATCAGATGGCAGGGAGCATCTCCTCCCTTCCCCGGGCAGAGCTTCATATTTCTGAGATTGTCATAGTTAGGACCATCTCACTGGGAACCCAGTGACAGACACCTTCTATTTCTGTATCTTAGGCTGCCCACAAGAACTGTGCCCATAGAACTTAGGGACACAGGATTTGGGGTCACAGGAGATGGCCTCCTCTCCTTCTGTCGCTTCCTGGTTTAAAGAACCAACAAAACTGGGATGTAGCAAAAGCCAGCAAAAAGAAGGAAGGGCAGGGCCTCTGGCACGTGTTCCTGGTGTGCACCGTCTGCGTGGAGGTGCACAAGGTATGCACGTGTGCACACACACCAGAATAGGTGAGCTGCCTTGCCCCTGCCTCTGCCTCTGCCTCTGCAACCGTCTCTTGGTTCCCTCTCAATATGCCCCAAACTGGAAACCTCCGTTATGGAAGAAGACAGCACAGACCAAAAGGAACCAGTTCTTTCGGCCCTTCCGGGGCTCTTTCAGAGAGTACATTTGGAGTTAGCAAGGGAAAAGCTCTAGGGCCTGTGATGTTCTCACGCAGGCCGAGTCTTTGAGGAGCACCCAAAAGACAGAGGGAACCCAGGGAAAGAATGTGGGCCCACTGGAGGAACAGACGCTGCCTGAATTGATCTGCAGGATCCAGGCCCCACGGGAAATATCCAGTGTGCAGACATATTTTATGGAGGGCAGGGTGAGGACGGAGCGCGGGCTGGAGGAGGGAGATGGCCATGAAAGGCTTCCCAGGACCACCACACCCTCCTACTCCCATGACCTCTTGACACCATAGGCCTGGGCATCCCTGCTTGCCTCTGGTCTATTTCAACCACTGCTCTACAAATGATCGTCCCCTAGGATGGCCAAGCTGACACAACAAATTCCACAGGCAAGGTGACTTTCAAGCAGCAGGCATTTATTCCTGAGTGTTCTGGATGTTGAAAGCCCAAGATGAAGAAACCAACATGGGTAGTAGCATCATCTCCTTGTGTCTTCAGATGGTAGAAGGGGCGAGTTAGCTCCTCAGGGTCTTTTATTTACTTACTTATTGGTGTGCAATTCACCCTCATGATTTAATTGTCTCTCAAAGACCCTGGTTCCTAATCCTACCCCCCTGAGGGGGATTAACAATTCAATATGTGAATTTCAGGAGGTGGGGATTTGCTGATGAATCAAGAGAGGTGAGGAAGAAGAAAGATGGGCCAGGGAAAGGAAGTCCTGCCCCCTTACCTACAAAGGTGAAGCGCTCCACGGGAGGGCGGACACAGCAGATCCTGGTGAGGCTTTCTCCCACCTTTCCCAAGATCTTGGCTATGGGAGAGAAGACAGACAGACAGAGAGAAAGAACCACTCACAACTGACACTGGTGTCAGCCCCGCATCGGGGCCACTGTAAACAACAGGGGTGTACTGGGGAGGGGAGGGGGGCTGGAACGTGGAAGGCAGGAGGGAGGAGGGTAGAGAGGAAGGACAGAGCAAGGACAGCCCGAATTCTTTCTTCTCACTCAGAGTCCAAGGCACAAGCATGTGAGCCATGGTCTGTTTTCTTGTCATGGGTATTGTTGAAAAGTAGAAAATAGAGAAAAGGGAGATATATAAAGAGAAAAGAAACAGCACCCACAATCCCACATCTAAATAGAACCACAACTTAGCATCTTGGTGTATTATTTATTTTCTTCCATTTTAATGAGTATAATGCATGCATGTTGAGTCAGATTGCAAATTTAAAGAGCATTCATATGGCTGCTCTTCTAATTCTTTTTTTTTTTTTTTTTTTTTTTTTTTCAATCTGAGACAGGGTTTTTCTGTGTAGCCCTGGCTGTCCTTGCTCTGTAGACCAGACTTGTCTTCCTGCCTCTGCCTCCTGAGTGCTGGGATTAAAGGCATGCAGCACCATGCCTGACTGCCCTTCCAATGCTTAAGGTTATGGTTTGAATCTTAAATGTCCCCCAAAGGCCATGTGTTGAAGCTTGGTCCCCAGCTGGTGACCCTGTGGTAGAAGTTTTAGGAGGTGGTGGCTAACGGGAGAAAGTTAGGTCAGAAGGTGTGTGTCCTGGTTTCTCCCTCCCCTCCCTTTGCTTCTGACCACCACAAAATAAGCCATCTCCTCTGCCACTCACTCCCATGATGCTGTATGCTTCTACAGCACCAAAACAACATGGCCAAGGGCCCCTGGACTAAAACCTCTGGAACCTGGGCCAAACACATCTTTGTTACTTTAAGGCTGGTTTTTCTCAGGCATTTTGCCACAGCAATGGAAGGCTGCTGTGACTAATACATTTCTCGAGAGCTTCTCAGTGGGTTTGTCCCAACCCTGTCCTTAGCCACTCAGTCCCACTGGACAGTAATACCCAAATCCAAGGGACCTCAGCCTGTGGCAGACTCCACATTGGAGTCATCTCTGCTGGGTGAAGGAGGGCATGCCTGCCCATGCAGGTGGTCTTCACAGTAGTCAGGACCCTAAGTGGCTGAGAGGTGGCCTGTGTGGCTCTTCTGTGATCTATCTCTCCAGGTCCTGGTTCCAAAACTTGCTTAGCACCCAGTATAAATGCATGCAGACTATGGAGTCCTGGCTCTTCTTTATAGCTTACTATGTTTATAAAAGACCAGGATTATAAGTCTGCGGTCTCTCAGCTTGAAAACTAATGGGCATCTGTCTCTTAGAATTTGTATTCGGTCATGTTTTGTTTGAAACAGCATTTCATGTAGCCCAAGCTGCCCTTAAAGCCCTGATCCTTCTGTTTCTACCCCCTCAAGTTCTGGGACACAGGAGTCTGCCACCACACCCAGCTTCAACTGTCAGAACTGACCTGGGAGAATCCTTTAGAGCATGTCCCTCGGGCCTGACAACCTTTGAACTGTCCAGCTTAGGCCAATCACAAACTGTCTCTGGATCTTTCTTTTTTTAATTTGTCAAAGGAAAGACAGCATCTACGTCACAGAATTACTGCATTTAATGAGAACACAAGCAAAGACTGAGAACAAAGCTCTGTAAAGCGCACAGTGCCAGTGCGGAGAACGTTCTGGTGCCTTTGCTTTTTGCTTTTGAGGAGGGGGCTGAGAGTATGGGCATTACGTATGTAACGTGACTCATGACGCTGCTACTTCCTCACCGCGACCCTGGGTGAGACCCTCAACTTCTCGGAAAGAGGCGAAGAAAAATGCTCCCTCTCATATATTAAATCCCTACTTAAGGCAATTATATTTATATTTAAATATGTAAGAAAGCACACTGTCCTCTCCTCTTCTCTCTCTCTTTCCTAGGCTTCACCCTCCTCCTCCTCTTCCTCCTGCTCTTCCTCTTTCCAGACTGACTGACTCCAAGGCCAGGTGACTCTGAAGACGGAGAACCTTGCCCAGCGTCCCTTACCTGCGGTGGGTTTGGCGGTCACGTTGCTGTTCTGGTAGATGGGCTGGGTGTTCTCATGCTGTGGCTGCCCAATCACAGGCGTCATGGAAGGCGTGTTGACATTAGAGAGGATGCAGCCGGTCACCCTCTGGGGAAAGGGAGAAGCACTCAGTCAGTGTCCTTAGCCAAGTGATGCTGAGAATCACGACCCAGTTGTCCCCATGGACATCTGTCTACCCAGCAGAGTAAGGTGACCTTGAACCAAGGGATGGTCTACACGGGTAGAAAACACGGTAACTCAGCAAGAAAAGCTTGGGAAGTGACATCACACAGCCCTGAGCCGCAGTTCAGGCTCTCCTCCTTCTAGATTTTTGTTGTTGTTGTTGTTGTGTTCTGTTTTGTTTTGTTTTGAGACAGGGTTTCTCTGTAGCCCAGGCTGGCCTCAAACTCAGAGATCCACCTGCCTCTGCCTCAGAAGTGTTGGGATTAAAGGCCACTACTACCTATTACCTTAAATATTCTGTTCACTTATCTCCACTTCCTGAGTGCTGGGATTTACAGGCTTCAGTCATTCTTTGCAGTTAAAAAAAAAAAAAAAAAAAAAAAAGGTGGGGAGGCGGGAACTACATCTAGGTGGAAATCAGCCAGTCTCCTCTCTAGGAATTAGCCCAGTTGGGCCGATCAGCATCCTGGCCAAGGGACTATCCCTCAGGAATGCAGGCCCACCTTAAGCCATTTTGACTGTGGCAGAAATACTTGAGCAAGTCCATGCAAGTCTGGCTGGCCTGTGGACGGCCTGATGCTGACAGGGCTTGGGGTCCAACCTTCTGCGTGTCATGGCTCTCTACGGTCCCTGCCTGCTTCCTGGGGCTCAAATGAGATCATACCGTGAGGGAGCTCTGCAGGCGTGGGAAAGGTCAGACCAAACAGGAATCATCACCACCTCAGCCTCTACAGGCCGGACACGTCAGTCACACGGCCAGCCAGAGACGAGTGCCAGGCAGAGCAGGATGTATTTGTGTCACCCAGGAAGTGTGGGGTGAGTTCCAAGTCCCCTGGGACCTGCTCATCACACTTCAGAGCCACATGGTGTCTTGAGATACATTATCCATGACCCTGTGTTATCAGGCCCACTGATCCCTTCAGTCATGTAGAAAATAAGGGGCTGAGAATGGAGCCTTCTCCACAGTGGAGCCGGAAGCAACTCCCCTTTACCCAGGGTCAGAGAGTGACAGAGAACTACAAGCTAAGTGCATATTCAAGGTCCCCTCCCTGAAAGGCAGCATCTCTGGAGTGATGGTGCCCGTGGCATTTTCAGGACCCTCAAGCCCCAGGGATGGCCAGAAAGACCCTCTGGGCACAGCTTCCATAGGCCATCCTGCAGGCAGAATGCCTGGCGTCCTTCTAAGCCTTAGAAGAGCAAGGCATTTGTTTTGTGGGCTAATCCACTACTTCCATCTCCTCCTAACATAAGAAGGTCATAGCAACATCCAGCTACATCTGTGAGGCAGCTTCCCAGCCAGCTTTGCGGGCTCCTCTGCCCAGCTGTGGCTGATAGATTAGAAGGGTGATCTGCTCTCTTTCATTATTATTTTATCACCAGAAAAGACAGTGCCACACTGTCACTTAATAGCTACTCTGTGGTTGAGGAATTCCTCTTGCTGCATCCTTAGTCTCTTGCTCTGTCTAAGAAGAACATGATTGGCCACATACCTTACCCTTGCCTGTGTCCTGCTCAGGCCCCATGTAGCTCTCCTGTCCTCGGCAGTTCTTACACACTCAACCTTGACTGGCTCATCCACCCACCCTCGGCCGTGGCCAGACTCACCTTCATGAGGTCTCGATGGTGTTCCAACACGCTGCAGGTGGTCTGCCAGGTGTCTTGGTAGCACTCCCATGGGTCCACTCTGCCATCACAAGAGAGGCTGTGCTTAGTCTCCATGCCATGCACTCTCTCCTCTTCGCTGCCTTCCAAGGCTCAGGGAGCTTAGCAGGCCTGGCCATGCTGTGTGCTTAGATCTCAAATCACGTTAAACCAGGCTGCGAAATATGTTCCCAAGCCCCAGTTTCCCTCTCTGTAAAATGGGAAGAATCTAGCACAGGCAGGTTGGGGAAGATGCTGGTGTGAGTCTCCCTGAGTTTAACCCCAGCTCGGCACGCTTTGGAGTGCGGGAACTCGGGAAATTTTGTATGCAGGGTGCCTTGTGCTTATTTTCATGTGGAAAAGGGTCTTCAGGCTCTTACAGGATTGTGATAAGAATTAAATGACCCGGGGGCTCATCAAGCCGGGACGGAACAAGCCCTGGAGAAGTAGCCCCATCGACCTCAACGGGGTGGTGCCGTATCTCGAGGCTGGAAGTAAGGCATGGCAGCTAGTCTAGAGGGTACAAACCACAGGCCAGCCAACTCCTCCAGCACAGGAAGCTGGGAAGTGAGCAGGGATCCTGCCCCAGACTGATGCCTCACTTGGCCTCAATTGCCAACTTAATGAGCTGCTAAATTGAGATATTTCTGAAATGCTCTCTTAGCGGAGGAGCATCCCTGTCCATCCCCTGCCAGGCACCTGGTGTTTCCTGGAGTTGAGATCTAAGTGAAAATGAAGGGGCCTGCCTGCCCTCACCTGGCTCCTCCTGCCCTGCCCCTGTGCACACAAGTGTGGGAGGTGAGCCTGAATCGGGGCTAGCCAATCAGCTCCCCTCCCAAGAGCTCATCCCCAGGCTCCTTAGGCATCTCAGTTCTGATCTTCCAAGTGGGGCAGGTGGTAGGCGCTCGGTAAGTATTCATCGGATCAATGAAGGAATTATTCCAGAATCTTCTAAAAACATCCAGGCAGGAACAGCCTCTGCCCAGTATGTTCTCCCCTGGATTCATTCCCCACAGGCAATTAGATGTGGTTTCTAACCCCGACTTGATCACAGATGGACTGTCCTCCAGACTTCTCCGGGGCTGTTTCTCAGCTGAGAAAATGCAGCCACTCTCTACCCAACTGTGTCTTTTTTTTCTTTTTTTAGGTTTATTTTTATTTATGTGTGTGAGGGTGCCTGAGTGTAGGCCAGAGAGGGTGTCAGCTCCCCTAGAGCTGGAGTTACAATAGTAAGCTGGCCAAGGTGGGTGTAGGAACTGAACTTGTTCGTGTCCTCCGGAAGAACAGCAAGTGCTCTTAACTGCTGAGCCATCTTTCCAGTCCTCAGCCCAAAAGAAAGTCTCTCAAGGGTGAGGCTCCCTATACAAATCACTGCGCAGGCCCACATGGACCACTGCCTAATCATCACCGTGGCTTCCCTTCACGGTCTTCAATTCTGCCGACCCATCCCTCCTGGGTTAACTGCATCCCTCACTCTGAGGCCAATGCCCCTCCCTTCACGGAAACTTCTAGATGCCGCTTATTTTTTTCACTGTAGGAAATTAAAGAGCAAATGATGTGCCATTATTTTTTTTTTTTAAACACCATCTTCTCATGCAAATTATAACGGTAGGAACTTGGGGGACATGATTAACATAATTAGTAGAAGCTTGCTGTAATTACACACTGCTGGCTCAGAGCACGGGAAGGGCTGCCATCTTATCTGTACCGCTAGTCTAAAGGGGGAGCCTGTGCTGGGGGGGGGTGTGTATGTGTGATCAAGAAGCCAGCTTCTGGGTTGAGTTGGTAGAGATGCCCTAGAGAGCACTGCTCAGCAGCCCCACACCTTTGTCCAGGAGTCAGTGTGGACCCCTGAGGGACCCTGAGATCAGAAGTGGGCAGTAATCAAGGCCACGGACTTTCTCTCAAAGGAAGTGATTTGTGGGTGAGAGTTAATGGAAGTTGGTGGGAATGTGAATGAAAGGTTTTGGGATTTGGGGGCCAGGTTCCTCCCCCAGGGATGTTTTTGGAAACTCTAAGAATCACCCCAGGACCCACAGATACAAAACTCCCTAAGCTAACTCTTTAATTTTGTGAACTTGGTTGTTTGGTTCAAAAATGAACAGTGATCAGTTGGGCCACCACTGGAGAGCTGCCTAATTAGGGCCAGCGTGGGGCTAATGTCTCTCCTACTTCCTCACCCTTGTGAGCTCCAAATTACCGACTCTTCCTCTTTTCCATTCCATCCCAGGAAGCCCAGGACCCTTGGCCTCTGACACCATCATCCCAGCCCTACCTGATCCAGTCGGAATTCTGGACGGCCAGCTGACACATGATGAGACGGTGCCGGCTGGACACAAGGCCCTGGGGAGCAACGAAGCCGTGAGTAGAAGGTGGCCTCAGTCTCCCACAGCACCCAGAAACACCAGCATAAACCACCCCAATACGAAGTGCAGCCATGTTGGATGGTAAGAGGAAATGAGAGATTGACTCAGTGACTCGTCCTTTAGTCACACACACAGACATTGAGTGACAGGGGAGAAGGGAAGGGATGGAGGATGTGTGGTGTATGCCGCTGCATCAGAGTCCGAACCAGCCAATGCCTGCTCTGCATAGATCTAAGGTTTGACCTGGGTTAAGCCCAGTTACCCTGCTTTAGTGAAGAGAGTGTCTGTGGGACAAACAGAAGGGACTGGTGAGTTCCCACCTTTTGGGGGGACCTGTGGCAAATTATAAGAGGCAACTGGGATGCTTTTCCCAAAATTAAAATCTCAGGAACGATTTGTCCAATGCAGCGAGCTCAGCCCATAACCCGCGCCAATCTGGAGCCCGGCACAGTCACATGGTGCAGGCATACTTGCTCCTCTCTGTGAGCAGCTGGCTGTGGTGGGCAGCTGGCCCTCCAGCTGCGGCCAGATACCCAGGTCTGACCGGTGGACCTGGGATGAAAGTCAGATGCCTACTGCTAGGCATTTAGCATTTCCAGGAATGTCCTCAGAGACCACGGTGGGGCAGTTTTATCCAGGGGAGTGGTCATGAGGAGGGGGGGAGTGAAGGGAGAGAGGGCAGAGGAAGTGGCCCACCTGTTTTCCATAGGAGTCGTGGACAGGAGAGACAATCCCACCGATCACAATGAATCTTCCGGTCTTGTGCAGATAATCCCTGGCTCTTTCTAATTAAGAGAAGAAAGTTGCATATCACAAGAGAGGAAGGGTGTGGATTAAAGGCGATAATCGAAATCAATCAGTTGGGCGCTCAGCCCCCTAAGGTTTGGTGCTTACTATTTAAATAGAAGGTGTCAACTTTCAGAGCAAATGGCGGTGACTCAAAGGTTTGGGAGGCGGACCTTAGCCCCAGAAACGAAAGGATTTAGGACTTAATCTTAATTCAGGGCTTAATCCAGTGGTAAGGAGTCTGTGTTGGAGGACCCACCGTGGCTGGAGGGCTTTAGAACAAGCACCTCATTAAGTGACATTCAGAGCCGCTGATTGGAATTGCTCCTGTTGTCACTGCAGAAATTCCTCTGAACAGAAAAAGTAAGCCTCCTTGGAATATGAAAGATTGCCTCATCCAATTACCAAGAAGGAAGAAATAAGGAGACAAATGTAAAGGGCCGTAGACATAATCATAGAGAATTAACCACCAGCCTAGCGAGTCAGCGGTTGCTTGAGAAGGAAAAAAAAAAAGCCTAGCTGAACAAAAGCCTCCTTTTAGGAGAATCGTGTTGATTATCCAAATGGATCAGGCAAGGCCAGGCTCACTTTCATGAGAAAAACTAGTGGACCAGAAAGGCTTTGAAGTCTGGTTGTTAGCTCCCGCCACGCCACGGCAGCAGCCTGCCTCGGCCGCCGAGGGGTTACGTCACCACCACCGCCGCCCGGTGCCTTTCCACCGGAGCTATGGACGAGTGCATCCTTCTAAAGTGCAGGTGGGCCACAGTCCCCTCTCTTCTTGCCCTTCTTCCTCGGATCTCTTCCCCGTTCTCTCTGTCCGTTCCGTCTGTCTGTCTGCTTGCCTCTCCCATGTCCCTGCTCCCCCACCCCCACTGAGCTAAATCTCCAACCCCAGATTGTATATTTTTTAAGTTTTCTATGTTTGTGTATGTGTGTACATATTTTTGTGGAGGTGGGAATTGATTTCCTCATTTACTTTTCACCTTGCTTTTACAAAAGATTTACTTTGTAATTGTGTGTGTGTGTGTGTGTGTGTGTGTGTGTGTGTGAGAGAGAGAGAGAGAGAGAGAGAGAGAGAGAGAGAGAGAGAGAGAGAGAGAGAGCAAGAATCTGCACATGTGTGTGTAGGTGCCAGAGAAGTCCAGAAAAGGGAGTCAGATCCCTTGGAGCTGGAGTTACAGGAGTTTACGAGCCGCAGGTGGATGTTGGGGTGAACTTAGGTCCTCTAGGAGAACAGTGCTCACTTTAATCTCTGTGCTAACTCTCCAGCCCCCTCTATATTTTTGAGACAAGATCTCTCACTGAACCTGGAGTTCACTGACTGTCCAAACTAGCTGGCTGGTGAACACCCCCGCCCTTTTAAAATCTTTTATTATTATTATTATTATTATTATTAACATATTTGATTTTTCGAGACAGAGTTTCTCTGCACAACAGCTCTGTCTGTTCTGGAACTCACTTTGTAGACCAGGCAGGCCGGCCTCAATTTCACAGAGATCCCCCTGTCTACCTCCGGAATGCTGAGATTAAAGGTATGCGCCACCACGCCTGGTTTTCTGCCATGCTTTTTATATGTATGAGTGTTTTGCCTGAACGTATATGTGCACATCATGTACATGCCTGATGCCCTCAGAGGCCAGAAGACGGCTTCATAGCCCCTGGAACTGGAGTTACAGATGGTTGCTGGCTGCCATGTGGGTGTGGGGAACTGAACCTGTGTCCTTTGTGAGAGAAGCAAGTGCTCTTAACCTCTGAGCCATCTCTTCAGCCCCGTGCCTGTCTTTTTAAGTGAATGCTGAGGAGGCTCAAAGTCAGGTCCTCCAGCTTGAGGCAAACCCTGCACCCGCTGAGCCACACAGGGGAAATCTGTGAGAGAAAGGGTGGGGGCGGGGCAGCAAGGCTGGTTGTGGATTTTACGTCAAGCTTTCACGACCTTGGTGGCTCTCTCTGCATTTAAAAAGAATTCTCACCCACCACAGTTGCTTCCTTTATCCCTTCAATGCAAAATCTTTTTTTTTTAAAAAAACAATTGATTATTTTTTAACATGTTAGTTTTTTGTTTTTGTTTTTTTCAGAGTCAATGTGGGAGGCTGTACCTATAATTCAACACACGGCATGGTTCCTCTCACTCCTCTCCCACCCAGGGTCCCCATTGCACGAACAGCCTCGCACCCATGCAGCACATTTGTTCCACTGATGAACCGTTGTGCACGGTCTACATTAGGATTCATTCTGTGCTATAGAATTCTGAAGGTTTTGCTAAGTGTGGGACACAGATCTATTATGCAGCAGCCCCACGCGGAGTATTTCACTGCCTTGAGTCTACAGTGCTCCACCTATTCCTTGTCCTTCCCACTGGACCTCTCTGACAACCACGGTTCTTTTCACTGTTACTTGAGGTTTGCCACAGCTAGGGATCAGAATGATCCAGCATGCAGTCTCTTCAGACCGGCTCTTTTCACTAAGCGCTATGCATTTAAGTTCTCCATGTCTCTCCACGCTGGCTAGTTCTACGTCAACTTGACCCAAGCTAATGTCATCTGAGAGGAGGGAATCTCCACTAAGAAAATGCCTCCATAAGACCAGGCTGAAGGCAAGCAAATAAGGCATTTTCTTTTCTTTTCTTTTTTTTTTTTTTTTTCAAGACAGGGTTTCTCTGTGTAGCTTTGAGCCTTTCCTGGACTCATTTCGCTTTTTTAAAATCCTTTCATAGGCCTGTTTTATTTCCCCGGGAGCCCACTGAACAACTTCTATCAGATTGTATATTTTTTAAGTTTTCTGTTTTTGTGTATGTGTGAACATATTCTTGTGGAGGTGGGAATTGATTTCCTCATTTACTTTTCACCTTGCTTTTACAAATTTATAATTGTGTGTGTGTGTGTGTGTGTGTGTGTGTGTGTGTGTGTGTGTGTGTGTGTAGCCCTGGCTGTCCTAGAACTCACTCTGTAGACCAGGCTGGCCTCAAACTTGGAGATCTGCCTGCCTCTGCCTCCCAAGTGCTGGGATTAAGTGTGTGCACCACCAGGCTGCTGCAATAAGCACTCTTAACTGTTGGACCTTCTTCCCAGCCCCCAACTTCGATTTTGAAAGATGCGCTATTACTTCACTCGTCGAGTCTTATTTTAATATTTGAATGAATTCCATGGCCCATCTTCCTGTCTCTTAGCCCTTCGTGCCTGTCTTTCTCAGGATCAGATCCATCTGGCCCTTGGCTGCCACAGACTCTCAACTGCGGTGAGCCAGCTCCTCCTGACTCTCCCCTTTTCTTCCAACAAGTGTCTGTTTACTCTTTGTTTATCCATGACTTAAAAGCCCAGCTCCTTCTCATGTCCAGCATGTCTGGTCTGTCCAGCATGATCCTCCTCTGGACTTATTTTCCTCACACTTCACTATGAAGCCAGTCCAAGGGACCTGGAAATTCTCTCAGCCACTCTCCTGTTTTATGGATTTCTCAAAGACAGACACATTGCTGAAGGTGAGAAGTCCCAAGTGCACAGGCAGAGTGGGTGTGAGGTTAGGGTATCATAGGAGAGGCACACTGGACCAGAGATGATTCACACTAAGTTCATGTAGGTCAAACAGTGTGTGTTGACGTTGCCTTTGAATCACTGTGTGGGTCCCAGGGTGCTCTCATCTGACTCCCATGCCAAAGACATCTTTGATTCGAAAACACCCAACTGAGTGACTTGTCTGTTGAGCAATAGGTATTCAGTAAGTAAATGTTCTCACACTCAAGCTCATGAAGCTGTCAGTGCTCACTCTTGCTCCTCTAAGATGTCCTCTAAGTGACCTTGACTGCCCACTCCATTCCGTAGACCACATTCAGGATATTCAGGGAATATCCATTGTTCCATTGAATTGTCTTAGTAGCTGTGACTCTTTCCTCCTGGCCAAGATAAATGACTCGGCTGCTTGCAACGCTTCCGAGTTCACTGTCTCCTGGAGAGGCAGTTTCGGAAAGGAAGATCCCAACTCTGAGTCAAGGCACTTCAGCCAGGAGAGTTACTGTGATTGCGTAGCTCAGTTCAATTTAGGAAATGCTGATGGAACATAAAACCCACAATGGGTGCTAGAGGATAAAGTTGACTTTATTCTCGCTCCTTTTTTTTTTTTTTTTTCCCAGAGCTGAGCACCGAACCCAGGGCCTTGCACTTGCTAGGCAAGCACTCTACCACTGAGTTAAGTCCCCAGCCCCCCATCTATTCTCTTTACTGGCCATGTGTGCACAGGGCCCACGTGTCTAGAAAACAGTTTCACAGCAGTCTTTCCCAACCTGTGGGTCTTAGAAGCTTTCCAGTCCTCCTTTTGAAATGATCCCAGAACCTTTCAGGGAAAGGAGTGTGGTACAGATGTCTTATTGAGGGCTCCTCACAGTCCCTTATTCTCTGAGGTTTGACTAGTTGTGTGGCTTTGTATTAAGTGCTTTCTACCGCAGAAAGAGTCCTGGATTTGACACACGGCAGTTTTCCATGTGCCTTGTTATTCTCTGACTTGACTAGACTGTCAGGTAAGGAGGGTTTTCAGCCTCCTAGACAAGTGGCCAGGAACAGGTAGAATCTTTTTCTTCTCTGTTTCCCAAGGAGATTCCAAATGTGTGAGAAATCTGCCTGGGATGACCTAGGATGTATGGGCTGTAGAAACCACACCCAACTTGGGACTGGAAGATGTCCAGATCACAGGCAAGTCTCTTAATTTCTCTGGGCCTTAACTTGTCTATCTCTAAAATGCCTTCTGTGTATGATTCAAAGATCAACTCAAATTATAAATTAAAAAAATGCACAAAGCTATTCATACTAGGTCATGCTTGTAATCCCAGCACTTGGTAGTAGAGGCAGGAGGATCAGGAGATAAAGATTACCCTCTTCTATAGACTCTTGTCTAGAAAATAGAAAGTTTCCAACTCACTCTATGAAAATTGTATTATCCTGATACCCAAGCCAGAAAAAGATAATATATAAAAGGAACTGCAGACACATACTGTTAGGAATATTTGTACAAG